TCTGATGCAGAATGATTGTAGTGAGGAAAATCTAGTGAAGCTAGACCGAATTCCTGCGCCAACATTGTTACCATGTTGAGATTAATGATCAATTGATTGTATAAGATGTCAGAGCAGGCCTGGTTGCAGAACTCCTGAAAATGTGCTTTTCTTCCCTATGTTCAACAGTTTAAAGGTCTATTGTACTTTGATCAACATTGTTGGGAGGAGAATTGCAATCATTCAACAAGTAGAAAGTCCATTTGATGAAAATGGCTAATTACAAACCATCTCGCAGGAGTTTACATTTTGAATCTGGATACATTGTACAGTCTGCAAGTATGTTTACCTGTCAATTTGCAATTAAGTCAATTTTGCAGGTGTTCTGTAATATAGTGGTGAATTGTGGCAAGATCAATGTAATGTAATGATGTGGAGAGGCTAAATTAGGTATGTAAAAGTTGTGTCAAACTCAAAAGCACAAGGTTAGCTTTATATTCCCTTAAAAATATAGGGGAGTATTTACACACCGACATTAAAAATATTAGGTATCAATTACAACTCCAACAAACTAGTCTTTGGGGTAGCACCAAGAAACTCATGAAAATGCTTCATTACTAAAGAAATTTGGAGCTCGCAGTGTCGAAAGAGCTACTATTTTGTTTCTTACTGCCGTGTTCTATATATTTAGTTCTACTCATTTTAGTAATGTAAATTTGCAGAGAAGGATATACATTCTAAAGTTCTTATGAATTTGCAATTTGCATTTCAACATGTATTGTTAAACTGGTATTACAAAATCTACCTTTATTTGGATTCTAAAATGTATCTTGTATCCTGTATTATGAAAGAATTCTTTCTTCCTGTTACCCTTATACGAATCTCAAGATACTGTGTTCATCTGGTAACAAATAGTTTAAATCAAGTGTCTGGTTTCTTAAATATTTGAAAATTTGAAGGTTACTGAGTTACGTGAGCAATTTATAGAGGCATAGAGATGTACAGTATGGAAACAGACCCTTTAGTCCAACTTGTCCATGCTGACCAGATATCCTAAATTAATCTTGTTCCATTTGCCAGCATTTGGCCCATATCCCTTGAAACCCTTCCTATTCATACACCCATCCAGATGTCTTTTAAACGTTGTAATTGTACTAGCCTCCACCACTTCCTCTGGCAGCTCATTCCATCCATGCATCATCCTCTGCATGAAGAAATTGAGCTTTAGGTCCCTTTTAAATCTTTCCCCTCTCATATTAAATCTGGTTTTGGACCCCCCCCCACCAAAAAAAAATCCCCAGGGAAAAGGCCTTGTCTATTTATTCTATCCATACCCCATATGATTTTATAAATCTCTATAAGGTCACCCCTCAGCCTCTGACACTAGAGAACACAGCCCCAGCTTATTCAACCTCTTCCTATGGTCAAACCCTTCAATGGTGGCAACATCCTTGTAAATCTTTTCTGAACACTTTTTCAAGTTTCGCAGCATCCATCCTATGGCAGGGAGACCCAACTCCCATACTCGATGCATTGACCAATAAAGGAAAGCACACCAAACACCACCTTCACTATCTCATCTACCTGTGACACCGCACTCCAAGGCCTCTTTGTTCAGCAACACTCCCCAGGACCTTACCATTAAGTATATAATGTAGAACCTCTAACATAATGAAATATCCCAAAATGCTTCATAGTGGCGTTACAAAGAAAAGTGCGGACCGAGCCATTAAAGAAAAAATTAGATTGAATGATCGAAAGCTTGACCAAATAAGTACATTTTTAAGTGTTTTAAAGGAAGAAAATGTAGTGGAGAGTAATAGGGAGAGAATGCTAAACCATGGGGCCTAGACAGTCAGACCCAGTGGATGAGCGATTAAAATTTGGGATGCACAAAGATCAGAATGAGAACGGCACATACCTGTAAGAATTGTGGAGCCAGAGGAGATTAGAAATGGGGAGAGGCAAAGTCAGGGAGGAATTTGAAAGTTAGTATAAGAACTTGATGTGAGTTAAGTTGGGGCAGTGTTTGGTTGATCATAAGTTAACAGTATTAAATGTGGAAGATCAGCCAGAATTGCATTGGAATAGTCCAGTTTTGAGGTGACAAAGATGGGTGGGAAAGTCAGATCATGTTATAGAAGTGGAAATAGGGGTGTTTTAAGTATCACACAATGCTATGATGCACAGTAAAAGCATTTGAAATTTATTTTGATTATCTTTGCAGTGAATGTTACAAAGTGCAGATGGGTTGGAAGTCTCATTGAGAAGTCACCAGAATTCTCCTTTTTCCTATTTCAAAGTAACCTTAGTTGAAAATGTTTAATGATGCTATAAGCCCAGCACCGTATACCATTCCATTAATGCGTCCTGATTACCACAGCCTACATAGGCAGCTTGGACTGCAAAGTGTTTGCTAATTTTCCTTACTCCCTCAGTTCACTTCTTGGGTAGAAGGGCTATGCTGAAATGAACTTCCATAGTTCATTTACTGAAGATAGACTTTTCTGGATTTGCCAAAGGAATTGCTTTCGTCCTGTTTAAGATAACTCGGGAAAGGATGAAAGTTTGGAATCATTGTCTTCCGAATGTTTGGAATCATTGTCTTCCGAATGTTTGGAATCATTGTCTTCCGAATGTTTGGAATCATTGTCTTCCGAATGTTTGGAATCATTGTCTTCCGAATGTTTGTACATCACAGCATCTAATCTGTGAAACTTTTCTGCTGTTTTATACAAAATATAAGAACACAGGAACATAAGGAATAGACAAAATGGCCCTTGAACCTGTTACACCTTTCTGATCTTACACTTCATTCCCGGTATCCATTGATTCCCTAGGAAATCAAAGATCTATCTATCCGTCTGCCCCAGTCTTAAATGTAGTCAACAATGAAACATCCATAGCCCTTCGTGAGGTAATTTCTCCTCGCCTCAATCCTAAATGATTGGCCTGCTTATCCTGACATTGTGGCCCCGTTTTAATGACCATGCATTAAAAGTTTGAATTTTGTTTTGCAACACTGAGTTCTACGCAGTTTTGCTGACCTGATCGAAACAGATATTCCTAGATCATGATGCCCATGTTACTCCTTCCAAGAGAAACTGAATAAATTTCTGGTTGAGGATTGGGTCTGTCACTTTTGGAATAACTGTAGATGAAGGCAGTTTCTGAGATGCCTTAGTTTCTGTGTTGATTAATGAGGCAATGGAGCAGAAGGAAAATGTGATCTGTCGAGGTTAGCTAGCGAGGGTGGAATAATAGAAATGTGGACTTGCTCTGTGTTCTAACTTTTGCTTGAGGTGATTTTGGTAAGATGAATTGCTGACGTAAAGTCCAAGTTGAATTATACGCTGTACCTGGAAGAGTTCAGTTTTGAGTCATATGACTTTATCCCATATACATTTTCTGATCCTTTCCATGATCTGCTGTAAAACACATGCACTCATTTTATATTTTGGCTGATGTACATTTTCGTTCCGGGAACGTTGCAGATAATGCTGATTAAACTGAATTTATAATAGCCGTCTCCATTTTTGAAGGTTATGTGGAGGGGTGACGAATTTGGGTTTCTTCTTGAACTGTTTTATGACTTGTACCATTGGTGCACATGTTTTTAGGTGAGGAATTCCACGATGTTGTTTGACTGATAAAAGTGAACTAGTTGGTGAATTTCTTGTGATGATCTTTTGTGCATGTTTTTTACATTCCTGGTGGTAGAGGTGGTTGGTTGGTCGGTGCTTTCAATGGAAGCTTATTGACAGGGGGCTAATAGGTGACGGTGGGGTTTGGTGCCTATCCAGCAGTGTATTATTTCCTGTCTTTTTCTACTTGTTGAAGCTACATTTGTTTCATGCAGCAGTGATTGTTACATCAGAATCCTGATTGGCCCCTTTTGTAGTTAGTATGAATGAATTGAGGTGTCCGCAAGCAAAACAGTCATTGCAGTCTTTCTTTCTGCAGCCTCAGTGTTGATATGAATGGCCATTTTAAGTCTTTGGAATCTCCCAAAACTTTGGTGCTATAGCATTTTGCTATTGTTTTTCAGGGAGTTAGTTGGGTCTTTTCTTATTAGAGGTGATTGATACTTGACGAAAATTCATCTGTCACCTGATGAAGAGCAGTGCTTTGCAAGCTTGTGATTTCAAATAAACTTGTTGGACTATAATTGGCGCAGTGATTTCTGACTTGGTCCACCCCAGTCCAACATCGATGTCTCCACTTCATTTTCAAAGGTATTTGTAAATGGAGCTGAAAACCTGTGCATTAATCATTGAAGGGCTATACTCATGACCTCATGATGTGGTCACTGAGACAGCTGATAATGGCAGCTGTGAAATCCTGGTAGGATGCAAAGATAGTGATAACACACTCACACACTATTAAAGCTCATTAAAAAAGAGTAACCAAAAGCAAAGAACATCTTATGCAAAGTTACCTATGTCATGAAGGAGCCCCATACAATGAAACGCAAAATATGGATTTTTGAGCTTTCCTTGGTGAGGGAATGTTTTCATCTTGTTTAATCGTGCAGGATTATCTTGAGATATTCTCTGAGCAGTTAGGAAAGCAATGTTTGTGTTTTAGGAAGCTCTGAATAATGTGCTCATCTCTTGAATGGGATTATGCTCATCATAAGTTAAACCATTTGAAGATGGTAGTGGGGGAATCCCACATGTTTGGGACTTGGCTTTGAAACAATTAATGATTTATTTTTCTAAAATGTAGGTAAAGCTTTAAATATTTCCAGTAGGAAACAATGTGGATAAGTTTCATGCTGCAGTTTAGATATTGTCTTGACAGCACTGAATGTTTCTTTCCATTAGAGGGCAGTCTTGTTCTTTGCAAAACCCTACTTGGAATCAAAATTGATTTCCATTACAGGAAAGTGGAGCTTTATTTCAAGATAGCTATTAACGTAGAATCTAGCATTGTCGTGTGCATTCCATAAAATACCAACAATGAAAGAATAAATAAACTTTTTGTGAGATTACAAAATCTCTTTTTTTTTTTCTCTCCAGTTTTTCAGGCCACACATTACCTGGAGCTAAGAGCACAGATGACCTGGTCACAGATCATCCCCACTGATACTGCACTGACTACATGGGATGTGCCATAATGGCCCAGGGATGGAAATGTGCTTTGATTCAACTCCCCTTTGTGTTTCTTTCTTCAAAAGTTACAAAATGCCTGAAAACTCTTATCCCTCCAACTGTGCCTTTGATCCTAATCCTTGCCTCTCCAATTTTTCCTATTTTCCTTTTTTTGCTCTGTCCATTTTTCTCCTGATGAAATGCACTGAGATTGCTGCCTTTTTGCTAAGGACTATTATGTAAATGTAGGTTTTGTAATTATTAAGGTCTGGTTGAAATTTAAGTTATGTATATGCAGTACCTAAGCAAGCATGGTATTTTTCTGGCTCATCACAATACATGCCATCTCAGCTATTCCTTCTGATAACACCCGTTTAACAAATATACATGTATGATGCTTGATTTGATGATTGTGAGTATTTTTGAGATTTTTGATTCTGAAGTTATGTATGTCTTGTATTTTACAGAAAGAGCATCTTTGTCTATATAATAATCTTGTGGACTCCTACAGTTTTCAAAAGAATTGTCTTAATGGCAGTGTTCATTCTCTTAGTATTAACAGTTCTCAAATTATGTATTGAAAGAGATCATAATGGTATATCTGGAATTGTTTTAAGTTTTTAAAATTTCAGCTGTGGATTAATTTATTTTTCTAGTAATTGTATAAACTTAATATTGTATCAGTATAACACAATATTGTTCAATTTGTGATATTGTAAAGGTTCTTTGCTAGGCTTCTGTGCAAATCTCTTTTTATTGTTTTTCATTCACTGGGCTCGGTTTTAAGATAGCAGTTTGTGGTCTTGTGAATAGTTATTGTGGTTGTATAAATCCAATTAAGGATGTTCCTTGTTTTTTGATTTGAACAGAAGTTTTTGATCAATATCTGGCTTTATGGTGTTCTCCTTTATTGTCTGTTGCACTTGCAACTTGGATAACAAAACCTTTAAAAAAAAAAGTACCATGATGTTGAGTTCCATTCTCGTGAAGATGCAGTATTTGAACTCTGGATTTCATTTCAAGGAAGTAATTATGTAGAAACATATCCAACTCTTGTGAAATCTGCTTGAAATGTAACTTGTAAAACAGTGTTGTGTGATGTATGTTCTGTGAAAATACATGAATTATACTAATCTACTGAGATTAGTAGTATGTTTTGAAGTTAAAATGCCCTACTGTTTCACAGTTTGTTGCAGTTGCGAATTATGGAGTATATTTTGTTGGTATACTATTCCTGACATTTCAATTAGACCTTTACAAATTATGGGAAGGGAATCATTTGCTGCATCTGATTTGAACCCAGAAGTGAAAACAATTGTATTTTTAGATACCATGGCACCATTGTCACTAGAATAGAATATTTAGGTTTAGGGCCTAGTGTTGTTATTGCTAGACATTTTATCCAGGAACTTTGGTTCGAATCCCACGTGACAGATGGTACAGTTTGAATTCAATAAAAATCTGGAATTAGGAGTCTAATTATGACCATGAAACAATTGCCAATTGTCAGCAAAACCCATCTGGTTCACTCATGCCCTTTTTAAGGAAGGAAAGTACCATCCTCACCTGATCTGGCCCATGTGTGACGCCAGACCCACAGCATGTGGTTGACTCTTGACTGCTTAGGGATTGGCAATAAATGCTGGTCTAGCCAGTGAAGCCCATATCTCATGAATGAATTTTTAAAAATGTGGCTATTTAAGATTGTTAATCCAAGCACAGGTGCAGGAAAGCAGCGTGCATCAGTGTCAGTCCACAGCCCAGAAAAATGGGAAGGGTCAGTTGGGGGTGGGGATTGGTGACATCCGGCTCTAAAACCTCCTGCCAAATGTGACAAAAAAAAGAGTTGATTTATGGGATTGATCAGCTGGCGTGTGGTGAACTTGTATAATATGGGAAAAGCCAAAACAGAAATGAATTGCTTTTCAAACTTTGATCTTCCATTCGTTGAATTCATAGCTGAACCTGCAGCTTTGCTTCCGAGTTGAATATCTTTCTTCCTTGGGAATGTATTGCCAGTCCTTCAGGTTAAGATCCTGGAACTCTTTGCCATGTAGCACTGTTGTTGTATTGATACAGTAAGAACTGCAACAGTTCAAGAAAGCATCTTGCCCCCACTTCCTCAAGGATTGCTAAGGATGAGCAATAATGTTGGCCTTGCCAATGAGACCTGTATACCATGATTAACCAAAAACCAATTCACGACCGCCTTTTGCTCCATACCTCTCAATACAATTGGCTAACAAAAATCTGTCAATCTTAGTTTAACAATTAACAATTGATCCAATATGAGTTTGGTATTAACAGTAGGTTGCTAAACTTCTACCTTCTGTGTAGAAGTGTTTTTTTTAATTTCACTGCTGAAAAGTGTGGCTCTAATATTTTGACAATGTCCCAAGTCCTAGGCTATTTGTGTAGCAAAAATGGTTTCTCAGTATCTACCCTAACTTTTACCTTCTGAATGTCAAGGAACGTCACCTGAATTTAGCTCATCGCGTCTCGTAGTTTAACCCTTAGGTTCCAGGCATCAGTTCTTCGAAATGCTGCATTTCCTCCAAGGCCAATGTAACATCCTTAATATGTGCTGAGTAGAAATACTGATAATGGTCTATAGTGTGATGGAACCAGAATTTTGTACGGGCGCCCACTTTGTATTCTAGGGCCCTACATACCAAGGTCAATGTTCCATGAGCCTTTTAGATTATTTCCTGCAACTACACGTGATAGTGTAATGATTTATTTCTTTAGACTTCCATTGCTGCTTTATTTTTGTTTAGAAAGTGCCTTGTTCTCCTTTTTTTGCATCCAAAGTGAATGATCTTTCACTTGTCTACATTGAGCTAAAATGTGGCTGTTCCCTTCACAATCTATTATCTCTCCGTGTACCTTATGCTTCCATTTACACTGATTACAGCTGAACCCATTTTTGTGTCATTGTCAAACTTGGAAACTACTCCTATGATTTGAGTAGTCCATAAATATGGTGATAAAATACCGAACAGTTGAGGTTTCAACGCACATTCTTGTGGCACACCACCAGTCACATTCTACCAATAGAACATCTCATTATCTGTATTCCTTATCTTTGGCCTTGTTAGGCAGTTTTTTTAACCAGGCTAATAAATTGACTTCAGTTCCATGGGCTTCAACTTCAGCTAATTGCCTCATATGACAGACTTTAATATCTTCTGGGCATTTCTAGAATCTGAATACACTTCCCGTCCACTACTTTAGTAACCTCTTCAAAAATCAATTGTGCTTGTTATGCATGAAGTTCCCCATACAAATCCATGCCGGGTCTCTTTGATCATTTGTACATTTTCGGGATGCTCAGTTACTGTATCCTTAGCTATGAACCCTGTCAAACTAACAGCCAGATGTTTGCCTAACTGATGAATCATCTTTAATGATGGAATGGTGTGTGTAATATTTAAGTCTAATAAAGGGGTTCCAAATCGAGGAAACTTTGAAAAGTTATGTTTGGTGCATCTGCAATGTTCTCACTTCCTTTAAAATATTGGAATGGTAACCATCTGGTCTGTGGTCACTGTTTTAGCCAATGTTTTCTTCGTTTATGTTGCTTACTAGCTTTTTTTTTTGCCACCCTTTGTACTTTGCATCACTTACCTTTGCCAGGATATGTGGTTTTAACAATGTTTTTGAACATGGTTTTAAAATTGTGTATTTTTCTTTCACTTCTAAGATATCTATTACCTCTTTATTTCTCCTTAGCTGTAGATTTTTGGCAAGTGGATCTCCTTCCAACCACTGTATAAACTGGTTCAGTATCACATTGAATTGTTGCTTTTAAACCCACTGGTTGTCTTTATTTTTGCCCATTAGCAAATTTGCCCAGTTTCCAGTTGACAGTCTCTGTCTCGTTATATTGAAGTAAGTCTTCAAGAAATTTTTTTCTGTCTTTCCAGTTTTCAAAAACCTCATTAAACTTTGTCAATGTATAACTATGGATAAATGTTCACTTCCTCAAGCTGTTACTTAAATCTAACTCATTAGATTTTGTAATGTAGCCTGTCCCTTTTGCTACTTCTAGAATATATTGCAGAAAACTATCCTGAATGCAGCAGGAAGTTCATACTTTTTTGACTGATTCTCCTTATTCCAATCAAATGAAAGTTGAGGTGTTCCTTTGCTATGTCCCTTCTCTGCACTCCCCACTTTTGTAGCTTCTGCCAACAGCTCCCATTCCAGTCTTGAATCCTTCTGTCTGGTTTAACTCAAGCCATAAAGACCCCACTTCCTGCTTATCTTTTGTTTCTTATCGCTGGAGTGATTTTAATCTTGATCATTAAGATTCCTCCTCCCCATTTACTTTTTCTTTATCTTTCTTCTTTGCTTTTAGAACTGTTATCCTAGTATATTTTGTTCCTAGTCTTGAATGTGTTGGAGCATTCTCAATAGCATGCAATCTCTCTCGCATACAATCAAACATTCATGCAAGTACACACAAATAAGTTACAGAATGAAAAGGCGGGTTAAGTAGTAAAGTTCGAAGAATTTGGTGGATTGATGCCTCGGACCTTTCGTGTTGGGCATGATGGACTTTGATTTCCAGGTCTGGACAAAGTTAAGGTTTCAATGGGCAATTTCTGGTTGATCTGGAGTCGACAACAGTTAAATGTTTTTGTAAGACACTGCTTGTGGCTAGTTGAGCAACAGCCAGGGCTCAAGCTCACAGGATCAATAATGGGCAGAGAGAGCGAACCTTCAAGCTGCAGCACTGTCTATTGCCTGGCAGCCAGCTTCCATTTTAATGGCTCTGAAATTTGTAAGGTGTAATTATGCAAACATTCAGTCATTTCTGAGCCACTGTGTAAGTCGTTCTTCGCGAAACTCAACCCAAATAGTTTCGCCCTAATAAGTAGTGATTTTTGATTATAAGTGAGTTTACGACCGGTACTTTAATCTCTTGATTTGTAATTAAATTTGCTGGTTAAAACGTCTCATAACCAGGTGGAGTTGGTCTCAACTGTATATTTCCTTCCCGTCATAATACTGATACCAGTGTTCCATGTGCTAGGGTCCCCCTTTTCCACACCACCCCTTTAATCACACATTCATCTCCCCTGTCATCTTAGCCATACGCTGATTTGTATTTAGCTGTTAATCCAGATATTGTAATCAATGAGGCCTTGCTCTTGAATTTAGCTCCTCCTTTTTGGTTCTTGCTAAAGAAAGTCTTTGTCTGCACTCTGAGTTTTGTTAATCCTCGGATGGGTCACAATAGCTAGGTCCCAAAAGGGTGATGGGGTGAGATTTAGTTGTGGCAGTTGTGACTGCTTGAAGTTTACATGAACCAATGCAAGTGGGAACTGGATAAGCACCTGAATGGAAGGGAATTACAGGGGAAGCGCTGGACAGTGTTACCAGTGAAACTATTTATGTAGAGTGCTAGCTTAGAATTTGTGAGGCAAATGGTCTTCAGTGTTGTAACCCTTCCATGTTTGTATAATCCTTTCTCTCTCTCCAATGTCTTTTCAACCTGGTTTGAGATTTCCCTTGTGGCAGGTAGGCAACACAAAATGTGAGGTCTTAATTGTGTTTACAAAGATTTCTATCCATTTGGCAATTTGTTGAATGCTCTTCAACTACCCTATTGTGCTTCCCTTTTAGACCAGCTCCTGTTACATTATGCCTCAGTCAGCATTTTAGCTATCCTTGTGATAGCCTGTCTGTCTGTCCTAATGGCACCAAGTTTCAGAGAGAGAATCCCTATGGTGTGGAAACAGGCCCTTCGGCCCAACAAGTCCACACTGACCCTCAGAGCATTCCACCTAGACCCATCACCTATCACCCACCTAATCAACACATTCCTCTACGCTATAGGCAATTTAGATGGACTATCCACCCAGCCTGCACATCTTTGGACTGTGGAAGGAAACCGGTGCACCTGGAGGAAACCCATGCAGACATGGGGAGAGTGTGCAAACTCCACACAGACAATCACCCGAGGGTGGAATCAAACCCGGGTCCCTGGTGCTGTGAGGCAGCAGTGCTAACCACTGAGCCACCGTGCTGCAGCTTGAAGGCTTGCTCTTTCTTCCTCATTATTGATTCTGTGAGCTTGAGCCCTGCCTGTTGCTCAACTAGCCACAAGCAGTGTCTTACAAAAAGTTTTAACTG